GCTTGCCTTCCTTCTTCCTCTCTTTCCCTCTTTTCATGTGGCTCTTTGGACCCATTCCACTCTTTTTCTCTTCCTTTGCCCTTGTTTTCATGCTATACTTCTTGGATGTCACCTTTGAGTGTGGATGGGCTGGGGTTGCTGATCATGACACTCATAGTGTTGATGATGTCGAACTTGGAAGGCAAAATTAGGACTTATATATAACTACCTTCATTTCTTTCTCATATTTACTATCTAGAACATATAATTACAAATCACTTAATTTGTAAGCGATAACTATAGTATAGTATCCAACGTGACATTAGTCTTTGACTCAATGAACCCAAAAAATTAGTCTCTAACTTTAACAGGTTGGAAGATTAATTTCTCATTTAATGAGTTGGGAGAATTAGTCTCTAATTCGATGAGTTATAGAAGAAAAAGAATTATTAACCTTTGGAGGATTAATGTGTTGATTAGCATGTAGCCAGTAGAATATGTGTAACAATGTCCCCTTCTGATGTATTTGATATTAGAAATGAAGATTCAAGCTCAACTGAAGTTGAATTGGATTTCATGTAAACTTGATTTCAGAGTTTTTAGATGGTTAAAGCTTGTGAAATAAGAATTTTAGTTGGTAATATTTTGTTAGATATAATTGGTGCCAGTCTCTGTATCTGAGAGGAAGAGATTTGTTTTGTTTTGCTGATGTTTTGTTTTTTTCTCTTCCCTTTGCTCTGTTTTATTCACTTGATTGATTGATATATATGTTGTACTAGCACAAACGTATTATACATTTAATTTCATTTGAGAAAATATTCGAGAAATTTGTGTACATAAAAGAAGAATTTGATAGAATCATGCAGTTTTTATAAGGATTCCTTTTATTAATAGTATAAATTATGAAAATATCACTTTAATTTAATTTTTAAAAATTAGAATTTTTTTTAATGAGGACAAGTTTACAATAAAATAATAAAGAAAGCAAGAAACTCCTTTTTCATTTTGACCTATAATTTCACAAAACTCTCATCTCTCTATCGAAGGAAGAAACACAACAAAGAGAAAGATACAAAGGGAAATATTTTGTGAATTTTAAAAATTTAAAACAAGACCATAGAAAAATATTTCAAAAATGTGTATAAAAATAATTGTATATAATATCAAATGAAATATATTTTTCTTGATATTACTAGTATTTTAACATATGTATATTTATTATATATAAATAAAATTTATAATAAATTATATATAGATAAATATTATAATTGAATATATAAGTTATATTTAAAATTACATAAATAAATATTTTTAAATATATAAATTATACTTTTTTATAATAACATATAAATTATATCTTAGATTTATGATAAATAATTTATATTGTAACATAATATTATTTTTATTTGTTGATAAATTATTTCAAATATTGAATTTTAATTTATAAATAATTATGATAAATAAAAATTAAATTAGATATAAAAAAATTTCTAAAAGTTCTCTCGTCAAAATTAAAAATTCTTAAAAATATATTTTTTTTGTTCGTTCCTAGAGTATCCACCGCCGATAACAGTGATTAATCTCCTTGCTAGTTAGAGGCACCTCAAAGGGTGGGATAGCTGGCCCCAAGATTTAACTTAAAAGTAAGATAGAAGTTGATATTAATATATAGAATTAGATACAAACTTAAAAGTATTTTTTAAAAAATCTCACTATTAAAAATACTTTTTATTTTTTATTTATAAAAAAATCTTAATTTTTTGTAACTTGTATCAAATAAATTTAAGTTAATTTAAAAATTTTCTAAATGTCGTCGAATTTCAATTTTGATGTTTGTGAAGACACCTTAATACAGATGTCTACAATTTAATATGCATAGAACTTTGATATTATCACGTCAATGAGTCAATCTGTGTTTGATTTTCGTTGAAAACTCTCAAAATCAATTTCAGTGGAAAAGACAAAAAATATTACTTCTTAATTTGATTCATTGAAATGTTTTTTTTTTTTTTTTCTTTCGTTCAATGAAACTCAAAGATAAAACAAATATACCCTAAGTGATTTTCAACTTTTTTTTTATTAAATATAAATTGTATAATGCATTTTGTCCTTTTTCTTTTTGTGATAATTTTGTTTTCAAAACCTAGCAAACTAGTTTATGAAAACTTTGTGATATAGGGTAAGTTATATTTCATGAATAAGATTTTCTAATTTTTTACGTAAGCTATTTCTCGCAAGTTATTTAAGTAATTTCTATCCGTTGTAGAATCACACAAGCGTAAAAATCATACCCATGAACTTTATTTTTAAATTTTGATGCACCACATAAATAAAAAATGACTTGTTTTCATTTTTGTAATTTCTTTCTCAATATTTTTTTTAAAAAATAACTCTTTAATTTATTTTTATTCAATATAATAGAATTTTCATGGCTAATAATAAAAATATCTATAACTCTCCTTAATATATTTTACAAATAAATTATACATAAACTTAAAAACAAGTATCCAATTACCTACCATATTAAAAAAATTGCTAATTTTAAAGACAAACTCAAGTAGAGCTGTAACGATAAATATAACCCAATTTCTATTCTTGATTTTGGGACAATTATGTACTCAATTTTCAATGCATTTTAGCTTTACACGTACAAAGAGAATATTGTGAATGCGAATTGTTCATTACTCCAAAGAAGAGCCAAAGTCAAAATCAAATGTCTCAGAGAATAGCATCTACCCATTGTCCTTTAGCCGTACATGTAGATGTTGTAATATAAACAAAGGTTAAATTTGATGTATTCTTTTCTTTATAAGTTCAAATTTAATTTGAGTATACCACACAAACTTATCATTACAAATCTTGTACTTGCTGTGATTTTTATTTTTTGGTGAAAAATAATTTTAGTGAGATAGTACTCCATAAGAATTACCAAGAGAGAATATATGGCAAAATAAGAAAGTAATTCTCAGTTTCTCTTCTATTTTTAATAAAGAAATTCTCAAAAATAATTTTAACATTACTAAATGTATAATCTGTCACTAGTTTTAGTAGTGGGGAGTTGCAGGTCACGTTGTATAATTTAGAATGATCAACAGTTAAAAAGTTAAAACTATGGTCTATATTGCCTTAAAATATTATTGAAATTTCTCAAGCACTGCCAACAGCTTGAGAATTGAATTGAATTGAATTGAATCTGTGCACGTTTAAATTAGTGGTGTATGTTTGATGTAGAACAAATAAACAATGCCACTATGCAAATTCCATTAGTGATGTGTGATGTAAAGCTGGAATACCTCGTTCTGTGCAATATTTTTTAAGAAGCCAAGTCAAAGCATAATGCAAATTCAAAATAAAATGCTAGTTCTGCTAAAGTCTGATATCACATTTCTTGCAACACACTCATTGGTTCATGGAAAAGTGTGGACCTGACTCGTTAAACAACTTAACCAAAAGCATCTTGAGCTTTGTAGAAGAAAAATAAAAACGGATTATAATCTTACTCTTGGTAAACTAGATTAAGAATAAAGCGATAATATATCTAACTTAACTTTTAAAAAAATTTATAAAGTGAGAATCACTCTTATTTATATATATTATTATGATTTTATTTTTAAATAAGAAATAATTCTCATTTTACAAGTCAATTTTGTAAAATTAAGTTAAATTATGAACTCATTTTTTTAATATTAATTGATGTGAAATCTTCAACACACTCCTTCATGCTAGAAGACTAAAATCTCAAATAGTAAAGACATTTGCGAGTGATTTAATAAAAATCTAATAACGGGTGATCTAATAAACTCACTAATAATTAGTAATTGCCAAGATATAAATTTTGATATCATTTTAAGAAAGTGAATTAAAAACTTAACTCAATGTAGTATAATTAACTTATAAGGTAAAAATTGTTCTCTACTTATATATATTATTATAAGAATAACTATTATAATCTTATTCATAGTTAATATGAATTAAGAGCCAAGATGGAAAAAATAGCAAAAAAATTCAAAGATTTCAACCGGAAAATTATAATTTTAAGTAACATGAAATGCCAATGCCATTGACATGCTAAAACACAAACCTAGCATGTTAGTTCAACAAACGTCCTTCACTTTTCGATTTTCTTTCAACTACCCATTTGTGCTTCATGAGTAAACTTCCACCAAGTTTTGCATTCAACATTGTTGTATTGTTAATTTGATCAGCATTATTTTAAACTAAAGTCAAGTTGGTAATTGTTCTCCAACTAGGCCATTAAAAAAATATTTTTAGACCTCAAATCCAGTTGATGGGTTAACAACAGTAAAGTCGCTATTACATGTGTGTTTAGACACGTTTGAGAAATGTGAAATAATGTTCTTGAATTTAGTTGGGTGAAAAGCTTAAGTGAGTTGAGATATCAGGACTCACCTAAACACTAGAATCACTACATGCATGTCTGGACATGTTTGAGAAGTGTAAAATCGTAAAAGCTATATTGGTTAGTTAGACAAAAAAGTTTTAAAGAGTCTGATAAGGAAATTTCTTCAAAAACACTCATCAAAGAGCAAAATAGAAAGTAAAAATGAAATAATTTTTTTTATAAGCTAAAATTAACTTATGTATAAAAAAATTTGTAAAAAATCTCCCCTATTAAAATTTTCAAAATCTTATTTTTAATTCATGCATAGACTAATAGTAATTTATAGAGAAGCCTATTTTAATTATCTTTTCTATTTTTCTCTTTTAAGAATACTTTGAGAGAAGCTTATCAAAATAAAACTTAATAGAATTGAGTTCTAAGGACTAACCAGAAGTAGGCCATGCCTTGCATTTGAAAGCGATATAAAAAATTGTTAGAAAAAAGTAAAGACATTTTATAATCAAACTTGTGTGTCTGTTAACCACACTCAGAGTCTTTCTACGTCACACCATGCTCCCTTTTCATAAATTGATTTTTAGGGGGGGCATGGAAGGTGTTTTCTTAATTTAAGGAATCCAAGCACATAACAGGAATTCCATTGGTATCTCCTTGAAGAGGGTGCAGGGATATTCCACGCCAATAGTGTCAAGAAGCCTAAAATAGAAAATACAAACAAATTAGCACAATTAAGTAATCATATGACACAGTGTACCAAAAATAAAGGGCATATAACAAATTCTCAAAGGAGGGTTCATTTCTCAATAAAGTAAAAGGAAACAGAGGATACAATACCTAAAACTTTTTGTTTTCTATGAATACCTGTCATTGTTCTTTCCACTAAGCAAGCACCATCAGTTGCCCATATAACTTTCTTTAACTGAATCCCTTATTTTCTTGCATTTTTTTGTCACAGCTTTCATCCATTCTGACAAGGAGACAGAACCATAAAAGGGTGATTTTTCTTTATTTCAACTTGCTAACCGTTTTAGTTGCTTAAATTGCTTTAGAGGTAAATTTATATGCATCATCAAGAAAATTGTACCTTGCACAGTTAGGACGTCAACTATTTGTGTTGCTGATGACATTGTAAAATTCTAGTTCTTGACACACCAGGCTAAATCAAGAAACTGAAGTTTCTGAAAGTCCCCCCCACCTTGGTTTTATCTCACGTCATATCATATGATAGCAGATTCAATGCACATTTTCCCCTTTCAAGGCATACAAATAAAAAAGTTAAAAAGATATTTTGAAGTGCTATAGGATAAGGGGTGTTAGAGATTTAATATAAAATCATTCACATGTTGTCACCTATCAGCTTAATCTTTTGGGGATAGTTGGTCCATGACAGCAAAATCTCTATAGCCAAATGGTCTAGCGTTCCATCCTAACTGCTTTATTCTTCTAATAAAAAAAAAGTTTAAATATGCTTTTGATCCATGTAGTTTCACGAATGTGTAGCTTTGGTCTCCCAAAATTTTTTATTGCAAATTTGGTTCCTTAACCTTCAAAATTAAGTAATGTTTATCTACCATTAACATGTTATCCAAATTTAAACAAAAAATGTTAACATGTCTATGAATGACATTACCGAATAGTTACTTAATTTTTATGTAACAAATAACATTGCTTTTTTACTACAAATATGTTAAGTTTATTTTTTATTTCAATTAAAATTTATAATCTATTAACATAATTTTATTTTTAATTTTTAATACTTCTGTTTTTTTACGTGACTAACTAGAAATAGTATCACTCATGGACACTTATTAACATTTTTATGACTAACTAGAAATAGTATCACTCATGGACTCTTATTAACATTTTTTTATTTAGTTTTGAATCATGTGTTAATGGTAGAGCAACGTTAATTAATTTAAAAAGGCTAGACTACAATTTTAGTTCCTCTATAATGCTTAATCTGCAATTTTAGTCCCTTAATTTTATAAAAAAATCTATAATTTTAGCTTTTTTGTCGAATATTCATTCACTAATTGTTAAAATTGTAACGTTGGATATAACTTTACATCAAGTAGATGGCATGAATATGATAATTAATATTTAATAATATTTAAACTAAGTTACAACTTTAATTTCTACTTTACCACTATTATGAGATAAAAATATGAACTAAAAGTAAAATTTAACCCAACATTATTAAATATTAATTTTTATGCCCTTTACTTAATTTTATATCATAACCAACATTACTAAATATTTAGTAAGAGGACCAAAATTGTAAATTTTATAAGATTGGTGAATTAAAAATGTGTAATTAAAAATAGATGAATCAAAATTGTGAATTGAAAATTATAGGGAGACCAAAAGTGTAATTTAGCAATTTAAAAACTAAGGAGATCAATTTTACCACTATTATGAGATAAAAATATGAACTAAAAGTAAAATTTAACCCAACATTATTAAATTTTATGCCCTTTACTTAATTTTATATCATAACCAACATTACTAAATATTTAGTAAGAGGACCAAAATTGTAAATTTTATAAGATTGGTGAATTAATGTGTAATTAAAAATAGATGAATCAAAATTGTGAATTAAAAATTATAGGGAGACCAAAAGTGTAATTTAGCAATTTAAAAACTAAGGAGATCAAATTTATAACAAAAAATTTTGAGAGACTAAAATTGCATATTCATGAAACTATATAGACTAAAAGAGGATTTAAGCAAAAAAAAAAAAAAATAGTTAAATTTTAGTACAAGATAGGCGGGTTTGTGCATTATCCATAGTTAAGACCTTGTTTGGATACATTTCTCCATACTTAAAAGAGAAGAAAATAAAAAGAAAAAATAAAATTAGTTTCTCCTATAAACTAAAATTAGCTTCTCTAAAGGCTGATTTTAACTTATACATAAACTAATTTTAATTTTTGGAAAAAAAAAATTTTCTTTTGTATCATCTTCTTTATTAGTGCTTATGGAAATACTTATTCAACCAAGGCCTTAATCCCAAAGGGCTCTTACAACGTTAGAGATGCAATATTAAACTATTCATGTTTCTTCACTTAACAACTTGAGCATTTGGGATTGTTAGTTCATCGAGGGATGGAGGAAGGACCGTCTACAATTAGGGGCACAATACAATGCACTAGTTTCTAAAAACAAAAATTATAAAAAATCAATTTTAATTCTTGAATCTTAATGCTTCCCAGTTTCCATGAAAATATGGATCTTCAGGTGGTGCAGGGTATTATTATGTTCTGCAGTTAGAAAGGCACAACATATGATCTTGTACACAAAGAAAAAACTTACTCATTTATGACCATGGCCATGATTTTCCGCTTCTACGATCTTTGAATGTCAGTTAGTTTCAGCTTCAACTTCATGTTTCCAGCTTGAACTACAATTTCTCCTTTGGATGAATCCACTTTTAAAACAGTCACCTTTCTCCCAAGGGAAGAGACATGTACCATATCACCAACCTTGGGAGGCTCAGACTTACCTGCAACTTCAATAAGGTGAATGACAACTGCATCAGTATTCCAATGATACTCCTCATTATAAGACTAGACAGCACTACTTTAGTGTGTACTATCACCAGATAAAAATAAATTAGAGTTGTACACTTAATTAAGATGCAACGAGTTAAACAAGGAAGCATATTATCTCATCACAATTCAGTTTCCTTTTATTTCCCTCATTATATTTGCATCTACCTGATCTTGATTGATTAAAAACTTTTCTAGCAGATGCACTTTTATCAGTAATAGTAGGTTCTTTGTTATCTGCAGCAGTTTGGCTTGTTGCTGATGAATCAGAGCTCCTAGAGGGTTCTTTATTGTTCTGTGAAGTCTGCTTAGTTGATACATCCAATTCCCTCACTTTCTTGTGAAGGATGGATCTTGCCATTGCTGCAGCCTCAGATACATCTCTCATCTTCTTAAATCTTAGATTAGTACTATGTTCCATGATCTTCCTTCTGGTGTTCAATAGACTATTGTAAAGTTCTCTGGAATGCCTACAATTACAAACACAAGAAAAATTATAAAAAAAAAATCGCAATTAAAAATTTACAAATGCTACAAAGGTATGGCGGATCCTGTTAATGATTATCTGCAAGAATTAATTATTACCAGCCAAGAAACAGGAGAACCGTAGTACCCAGTGGCATGAGACAAATAAGAAAATTAAGCCAATTATATGGAATTTTCGCCCAATTAGTAATCATTCTATAAGTAATGGGAAGATGATATTAACATTTTGTTCCCCCATCCTCATTCTTGCAATCTAGTTATACCCTTACAAGAATCTGAATAATTTTATTTGGATTATGTTTTCAAAATAAAATTTATTCATAGACTCTTGTATTTATTAATAATCATTACTTTGTCACTAAATATATGGTTGTTTCAATGCTCTCATAAGTGAATCCCCCTAGTTAAACAAGGTATCCGTTGCATAGAAGAGAACACGGCTTAACAAAATTTAGAGGTGGTCAGTCTAACACAAAATACTATCCAATTACTAAAACAGGGACCGAAGCCTTGTTACAGGTATTGAGCATACTGATAACAACTAAAGAGAGTAAAATAACTATCTGGAATAAAAAGCAAGATATGAATATGATTACATGATCCATTTCTCCTTGAATGCATTAACAATCGAATGAACTTGCTCCATTATCTGTTAGATATATAAATAAGTGCCTATGATACATAATGAACTCTCCTTAAATTGTACGTGAAATGCAAATATCTGGGGGAATAAAGTATGCAATGAATTTAAATTTTTTAAAGCAGAGTCTCACATCAGATAATGACGTGCTTCATCCAATAGCTCTTGGTAATCTTGTTTTAACCTTTCCATATCAGTGATTACCTACATGAAAAAATAAACTATGATGAAACAACTAAAATTTTGTAATACACTGAGAAGAATTAGATTTGATTATTAGGCGGAAAATATATGGAGACACAGAGCCCTGTATAATTCTAACTTTTATCTGATATCTCCCAGAAAAACTACCACAAATGTATTACTTGTCAATTTATATATTTAAAATACCCACTTTAGCATCAAGTTCAAGGCATAAAATCAATGGTCTATTCATTGCTTAAAGTTTAAAACAATAATATAAATATAAATAATGTTCTGAGGACATGATACACCACCATTAACAAATAATAAATACAGTGAAGATAATTACAAAATACACATACCTCATCTATCTCTGCACTAGCAGAACCATATAACTTACGAGCATTATCAACAACATCAGATGGCAGTCCCAACCTCTCGGCTATATTTATTGCATTTGAGCGCCCTACAATTAAAATCTATTTTCGAGTTATATGCGTTAAGTGTCTACCACATATGACTATCATTTAAAATAATCCATGAAATATGCAATATCCTGTTAAGATTTGGTCCATCAGCTAGTTTGGTCCAGCCTCTCAAATCATTAGTATAAAAACCGACCATTGAACTACTGAACTAGGTGCAAACCATCCTGAATTTTACAAAGTGGGCATCATTTAATTGATGAGCAATTAAAGCTTAGTTTAAAAACCATCTATAGAATCAGTGAACAAGATGCAAGTCATTCTGAACTGTATGTATGAACCACTCGTGGTTTACTTGATGACCACTTCAAGCTTTATTTCAACAATTTTAATACATAGATCAATCTTACAATTGTTTAAAAAATTTGAAAACTATTTTATTAATTCAAATTAATGTATAAAATATTTTTATGATTATCCGTCAATTTAAATTAAAGAAGTCAAATATCAAATAATTTTTAAAATTTTTAAAAATTTATA